GTTCTGGCGTGACACTGAGGGTTTCGATCCGTTGCCGGGCACGAAAAAAGACAAAAAGACAAAAAAAAAAAAAAAGGAAAAAAAAAAGAAAAAAGAAAATATTTGTAATGCATTACCTATACATTAATGCCACATTTTCAAAGCTTTACTGCTTCACTGAAAAAAGACTTTCAGCATCCCTATACCTTAAGACACCTTATATGGTGTTGTAAATCCCAGAATTCCCAAAAGGGTCATCCCACCTAAATACATGCCAGTCTTTTTTTTTTTTGTCTTTTTGTCTTTTTTCGTGTCCGGCAACGGATCAAAACCCTCAGTGTCACGCCAGTACCGGACCAGGACCGGCAACGGGATCGCAACCCTCGGCACCGCTCCCGCACCTCGCTCAGCCAGTGAGCAGGAACCGGTCTGTATGTGGGATCTGAACCCTCGGCGGGAGCGCCGCCACGCTCCCAAGCGGCGCACTATAGCAGTGTGCCACCGGGCTGGCCCTACATGCCAGTCTTTACTTAAGTCTGTTGTTACGTTCCACTTTCTAATGATGTAGTTTTGATAAACCATGGAAAAACTGATTTTTTTTTTCAAGGATATAGGTGGTAAGAGCTAGCTAAATTGAAATCTAAAGTTGTGATTATTTGGAGCATAACTCTAAAGCCTGTCATTTCACTGGTGAGCAGGTTTAGAGTGATCTTGTCATTGTCATGTGATTCCATCCGATGGGAGTGTTAATAGCCAGGAGCATCGTGTTTTGCTTACGTGAATGTAATCAAACTTTTCCTTAGGGAGAGGAGATGATGCATGGCAAGGGGGTTATAACCTGAAGAGCTAGTGACAGGCCAATCACGTGGCAACTACCTTTAGGCACTAGTTCTATAAATAAAATAGGTGTCTTTGTAAGTTGTCATACCTTCTTTCTTAAAGATAGAAGTTTCCCCTAGAAACAAAGTGGCAGTGTAATTTTCAAGGGCCACTTTTTTGTGCCGCCTAAGGTGTGATTACAAACAGTAATTCCCAACAATACAGTTCCCTTGTTAGCATAGCAAAATAATCAGGGGATATCAGTCACTAAAAAAATGTAGTACTGAAACATGTATTTTTTATTTTTTTAGGGGAGTGGAAGTACAGGGGAAGTACCTGTTCTTTATTGTTAGTCTAGGGTCATACTCAGAAATTTTGAGGGAGGATTCTACGTCTAATTGTTCACCTTATTCCAAGTGAAAGGCACTTGTATTATAGGGATTCTTCCCTCAGTATTTGTAGCATGTAAAAGGAGAACAAACATTTAAAAACATTTAAGCTCCATTAGTATTGACATAATGGTTAAAGGGATGTAGTTTCATATCTTTGAGTTCTTATAGAAAAGAGTAATGAAAAAAAAGAGAGGAAAAGAGTAACTAGGTACAGGGTTACCTCGTCCTTCAGAATAATAAATACTCTTCACCAAAATGGAAATAGCATGCATTTTCTTCACTTTCCGGGTGAGACTTATGACCAAATGAAAAAGATAGGTGGAATACTCAGTAGCTAGTAGTTACCAGGATAGGTACCTCCAGTCACACACTGTCAACCATATTGTGGTCATTAGGCTATTCTTGTTCATGGAGAGAAGAGAATTCACAATCC